CAACCCAGAGGTGGTGGTGGCTGGAACATCCCCAGGGGTTCGCAGGGAGCCAGGCTCCCTGGCACAGTGTGAGCTCCCTGTGGACCTCCTGATGCTCAGCTCATTCTGTTTGGATTGATATGTGTTGCTGCTGGAGGGCAAGGGCTCCTTTCTCAGCTCACCTCAACATTCAGCTGTTGACAAGCCGCCCTTCTCAGCTTCAGGGGTGCGAGACCCTCAGTGAGTAACTGAGGAGATCTTGGGAGTGTTTTTAGGGTACCACTGTTTTAATCAGTCAATAAAAACCAGTTTTCACTTCCACGTTCCCTGCCAGGGTCTCCTGCTAGTGGGGAAAGGGGTCATCGCTGGTTGCTTTTCCTCCTCCCACCTACCTGCCCCACTGCTTCCCTGTCACAGCCTCTTTTCCTGCTGCCTCCCCCCAGGTCCCATGCCCTGGGCAGCAGCCTGGTCCCTCAGCTGCATAGGGCAGGGCAGGACAGCAGGAGGGAGGAAGCCACCAGAGGAAGGGTCCCTGTCACTGTTCTCCATCATCTGCTGGTTGCACTGCAGGAGCTGCCCAGAGTTTCCTCTTGCCCATCCTATGGGGGAAAGGAGGTGAGGAGGGACACCAGCAGGACCCCAAGGGTAGGGAGGCTCTTCAGAGCCCCAGGCTGGGGGCAGAGGGGGGCCCTGGGGTGCAAACAGCGGCCCTGAGCAAAGGGGCTGCGCTTGAGCTGTGGCACGGGCATCTCCTGGGCTTCCCTGGCATTAACCCTCTCCCCCTGCAAGCCCTTCAGGATCCCGCCTTCCTTGGCCTCTTCCACACATCAGGGCCCTGTGCTTTCCCTCCTAGAATTTCTCTCTGTGCCCAAACCAGAAGTCAGTGAGAAGCCATCACATCCCTCACTGCTGTCCCAGCGCTTCCAGACCACACTGTATCATCCTGCTGAAACACATCCTGAACACCACAGCTTTGACAACTGCACAAGTCAGCCCCATCCTGTCCACATCCCACCATGCTGTGCTCACCCTGCCCATGACAGTCCCACCTGCTCTGTCTGAGCTCCTCACACCTCCATCACCATAGCATTGAATCATAGAATCACAGAATGGTTTGGGTTGGAAGGGACCTTAAACCTCATCCAGTTCCAAACCGGAGCAAGCAGCTCTGGTGCCAACAGCAGTACAGCTCTTCCCCCTCTTCCCCTAGGTAAGTGATGAATTAGTGACCTCTTCCATTTACCTAGGCTGTAGAAGCAGGGCTGAGTCCTTTGTTTTCCTTCCTAATAAGCTCATAAAATGGAGTTTGACAGAGTACATTGTCCTGTGAACCTCCAAGGTCCAAAGGGACCATGACAGCAGCCAGCGCACCCGGTGTGCTGCCAAAATACCATTGTTATTAACAATCCCTTAAGTATATTACACCTACCACAGTAATCCTCTTAGAGGAAGCTGTGAGATGGTGATAGAGGGTGAGGCATCGCTTAAACACACCTGGGCTTTAGCCCAGAGGGCATCGGAACAGGCGGCAGGGTTCTTGTGTTCTGCTCAAGGCTTTGCCTCCTCCACTGCTCCCAGGACAGCTTCAGCCCTGCATTCCCTCTCTGCTCTCACCCTATATCCTGGGGTAGGTCTGCAGCAGGACAGAGCCCATGCCTGCTGCGATGTCCCACTGCACCCCATGGCGCTGCAGGGTGCAGAGCAACCCCTTCACTTGGGGAGCAAAAACCAGCTCCTGGAGATGTTTCACAGCCAGTTTCAGTTGAGAGAGCGTGGTTCCTGCCCCAGCAGCACCACCATCACGCACCTTTATATAGAGCAATTCCTGCTGGTTCTGGTGGAAATGGTGGCGGGCAGACATTGCCATGCAGGGCGCAGAGCACCCAAGAACACCACCACAGCCCCTGTGCACTGGTGGAGGAAGGCAGAGCTTTCCCAGCTGCAAGCACATCCCAGGCAAGATGGCACCATCCTGAAGGGCACCAGGCACACGGTGGGGACCACGGGAGGGTGGCACTGGGGCTGGAAACTCCCACAGTTGCCAATCGTGTCCTCCCCACCCAGCTCCAAGGTGTGTTTGGAAGGGAGAAGGCAGTCCCCATCCCCTCCCATGCCATAGCATCCCTCGTCACTTGGCCACCAGAGCAAGGACCACATCCCCGCACCTCCCAAGTCCCAGCACAGTCCTGTCCTGAAGCCAGGGGACCCAGGGGGACCATGGCTCCACTCACCCCCCTGAGAAGGTCAGTGTGGGGCATGAGAGGTCGCTCCTAATTCCTGACCTCAGCCTCCCTGGATAACCAGGTGTCTGTGGGCTCCCGCCAGGGGCCAGCAGCCACCAAGAGCAGCTTATTCCCATGTGCACCCCGGCCACACTGGAGCACGGATAATGCAGGATCACCCTGATTAGCCCCAAAGCCAGTGGTGCCAAGAGCCCGCTGTGACGATAGGAAGCTTTCTTAGGGCAGAGCTTGTCAAGGCAGTCACCCCGCTGATGGGAAAACACCCATTTCCAGGGACTCCATCCCATGAAATGCAGCATTTCCACATTCCAAGCCCTGGGTTTCAGGGGCCATCCTCAAGAGCCACATCCCCAAGTCTGCCAAGCACCTGTGGAAACACAGCACCAACTCTAAGGGTGCTGTGGAGACAGGGGGTGAAACTAAATGGGCTTCAAGGTCCCCTCCACCCAGAGCATCCTGTGATTCAATGATTCTACTTTGAGGAGCCCTGATACCTGCCCTGCAGAGGTCAGAGGTGCCACCTCCTTCCCCAGGTCCCAAACTGGCACTCTGCAACCAGGAACAGGGCAGGAGGTACTGCTCCCTTCTCCCATCACTGTCCATGTCCATGGCCTGCTGCTTATCCCCCTGCAACAGGTATATGCACCACACCAACTGTAACCCACAGCCTCCCTGACACTGCCCACTGCTCGATCCACAACACAGCAAGAAACCATCTCACCGCACACAGCCTATATCCTGCTTCACCCTACCTTCTTCTTCCTCACCATGAGTGCCCCAGGCACGCTACCAGGGTACACAATGACTTACAGGGATGCAGGGATCAGCACCAGCTGCAGAATTGGCAGAACAAAGGAGAGAAGCCTGAAGGTGAAGGGAGAACCTTTGGGAGGGCAGTGCTTGAGATAAAAAGAGGATGCTGTATCCCCAAACATGGCACCCTCTCCGTGTCCCTTGCCCTATCCTCCATCAGCACCTCAATGAGCACTGTGTCCACAGCCTAGCTCAGCACCAGAGTAAAACCCATCTTTCCAGGGAGAGCCCACACAGGAGCTTTTCCATCTCTGCCATGGTAAAGTGGGGCTGCTGCTCCAGCCTTGGCACCACTGCCCAAACCTGCACCTTGTAGCGAGGTGCCTGCTCATCAGAAAGGGGAAAAAAAAGACAAATTCCATTAAAAGGCTTTGGAAACTTTATTCTTTACAGAATTTGATAGTTTTGTTTAAACACAATAAATACTTCAGCAATAGCATTTAACAGACCAGAACTGAAACCCACTGAAGTACCTAAACTCCCAGAGACAGGGCTCCAGGACAGCGATCGGGGTCCCAAGACCCACGGCAGCTTCATCTGATCCCTGTTTTGGGACAACCCCAGCCAGAGCGAGCAAGCACACTCAGCTCTGGTGGGGAGCACAGCAGAATATCCATGCTCCTGCCAAAAGCAGCTCCTTGGGAAGGGGAAGAACCAAACCACCACAAGCCCCAAGATGTCTCTCACTGACTCATTTCACAGCTGCATCAGCTCCATGGCCCCGCTGCACAGGGGGTTGGTGACAGAAGACCAACCCCAGGTGGTGCCCCTGAACTTGCTCCTGGAAGGACGAGGCAGCATCACCAACTGCTTCCATACCCTGCCCAGGAAAACTGAACAGCCACATGGACACAGGCCCTTGAAGATGCTCTGAAGGGCTCACAGAATCATCAAATCACAGGAGGGTTTGGAGAGCTCCACCTCCTTTCTTGTACTGGGGCCCATAGATGAGTTGCAGACATGGTCCCTGTCCTGCGTTTATAGGGCCTGGCTAGAACTGACCTGACTGAGATTAGAACAGCTCCCAAAGTTCAACCTACAGGTTTGAGTGCACCCGGGAGGTAACACTGGGCCAGCTCCATTTAAGGAGCTCAAACAAGTGTCTGCAGAGCCTGAGAAATTCATGCTTACAACATGGAGCTCCCCCAGCTCTGGGAAAGCCACCTCTAGCAGGTGGTTGATGTTTAGGAAAGGAGAGGCTTCTGCCAAGCCCCTGCAGTGACCAGCCACTGAAGAAAGGAGGTAAGTGGAGCACAGACACAGTGGGGGAAGGAGCAAGCTGAAACCATCAGCACACAGTGTGTGTTTGTAGACCTGCAGGTTAGCCACAGCATCTGTACTTGTACAAATCACTTTTAGATGGCCCAAACCCAAGGAGGTCCCAAAACCTGCACCTCACCCTCCACCCCAGTTCCACTTGTGAGTTCCTGCACTGGGTCCCTGGATTGGTGCAGAGGCAGGAGCTGTGATAAGAAACATAAGATCGAGATGATAATGGCTGCAAACAAGATTCCTGCTCTGCCTCAGCTATGCAAGTCCTGCACTGACACCTTGGAGCACCCCAGGTTCCCACAAAAATCTGCTTCAGGGCAAAGCATGGTGAGGATGAGGAGGAGCTGGCGGCACTGGCCACCTTTCTCTGCAGCACAAGGACCCACCGGGAGACTGACATCTCCAACGACTTCACCCCTCCCTGGACAGGGTTGCTCCTGGTCAAACTGTATTGAGATAAAGTGTGCAGAATAGATTTAGGAAAGCATAGGACAGTCCCATTACCAACCCAGGAGGTCCACGAGTAATAAACAAAATAGGACCCACTATCCCTGGAAGCAGAGACAACACAGATCAGCTTTCAAATACTGAGCAGGAGCAAGGAACAAGCACACAACCCTGTCCCATCCCCAGAAGCACATCCCACTGCAATGACAGTCTAGCACACTCCAATCCAACACAATTACCACCAGATGCTCTCAGCAAGGAATACATTTATTCTTAAGACTTAAAACCATTCTGATTCATGAATAGTTTGTTTCTCAGCATGCCACACCCCACCATGGCAAGATGGTTTGATCAATCTGTTTGCTTCCATTCCCCTACCAGAATCTGGGAGCAGAATCACTTCAATTCCAATAGCCCAAACAGAGCCCCCCAGCTTTGCAGCGGCAGGAGCTGGGAAGAGTCATACGTGCACTGAGATCAGGTCTGAGCTCTCCTCACTCTGCCACAAGCCTGGTAGCACTAGAGGCAAGCCAGCCCGCTTTCCAGCACTGACTGAAGCAGACAGTTTTTCTAGTTCCAAGGTGCAATAAATTAAGGCACCAATAATCCAGGACTCTCCAACGATAAAGGTGGTGCAGATAGGAAGCAGTTCCAGTTTTTAACAGGTGTTTCTCTTACAGCACAAGTATTTGCAGGACTTTAAAGAGGAAGCCCTGTTTCCACGTTTGTGCCTCCACAAAGGGGTTTTCCAGGGTATATTACATGCTGCAAAAGGGCAGCAGCTCACAGGTCAGTAGGACAATAGACAGACAAGTGTGTTGGGGGGCAAAGTGACATCCTAAGATTTAAGATCATACAACCTCTCATAGCATCAGTCATGGCCCAGTCCTATGGGCCCAGCACTGCTGGTGGAAGGAGACAGGACAACACCAGCTCCAGGATGGGGACCCAGAGCCCACCTGAAAGCCTGAGGGAACAGCCCAATTACTCCCTGGTCCTGCAAACACATAACTAGGAAGCAAATCATCCAACCTCCACTTTTTGTCAGTGCCGCCGGCACAGTTTTGCTACCTGAAGATACCCCGCAGATCAACACTGTGCCCTATTTTAAGATTCCCTGTAATTATTGTGCGAGCATGACTTAAATTTATCTCCCTTCATAACCACATTTCTTTAAATAGCAAGAGCCAAAAACTCAAGCGCAGCCCCATTCATTTGTATGCTTAAGGTATTTTTTTTCCTGTACAACATCAGTAAAATATATAGGAGTAAGCTGCTTTATTAAATAACCTCTGAAAACCATCTGCCCCTCTCCCAGCTCAGCCACCCTTCCCAGACACGCCGCAGCCAGACAGACACATAAGCACACAGACGTTCCCATGTCGCACCAGCTTGCTCCTCGCAGGATACATAGCAAGCAACCAAGCAGCCCACATGCACATGAGGAACGTGTGAGCTCACCTCAGGATTTCAAGTCTCAGCCTGCACAATGATGAGTCAAATTTACCAAAGAAAAAGCATTAAATAATAGTTACAGGTTTCCTAAAGCAGGAGGAGTCAACACCTGCAGAAGGAAAACGCCGTGACCAAGCTGCTAGGAGCCACGTTGCACTATAATCAGTGTATAAGCGACTTTGTTCCCATGGTAAATTACATATGCACAATCTGTTGTGCTTGTTCACTTCCGGATGCAGCCTTTCCAGAGCCTGGGTTTAAGCTACACTCTTCATTCAAGCACAGGTCTTCATTAAATAAAGTGAACAGAAAAGAAAATCAGCATTCAATCTTCACCACCCCACTCTTAACTCAATCACAAAGAAAAAAAACCCCAAATTTAAAAAAATAAATCAATGCAAACATGTCTTTTACAAATGGACAGTAAACAAATTATCCCTGGATGAGACATGCAGCCGCTGGGGATAACGGTTTGGAAAATAAAGCTGTATTTGGAAAGGATCCCACCACACACACGCACCTGTGAGCTCCCTGAAAGTGCACACTTGACCAACACGATGCTGCAGTTAAGGTGCTTCGTTAAGCAGTGGATTTGGGGCCACTGGAAGGCTGGTGGGTAGGGTGATGTGCTGCGAGAGGTGCAGGCCCAGCAGCATGCAGCTGTCCCGCAGAGCCAGCCCGAAACACCAAGTTCTTACTGGGAGGCAGAAGGGGGAGATGAGCTCTGTGTTAGGCTGGTGTAAGCCACTTGCAGCTGCCAGTTGGAGCCCAGACTCCGTTCCCAGGTGGGGAACACACCTGGACACACAGAAACACGGTCGAGATGCAGTCCCAGGCTAGCCACAGCTCGAGCAGGGGAGGCAGGAGCCACCTTCCCACCTTTGCAGGAAATCAAGCCCTGACTTTCTAAGCCCTCCAAGCAGAATGTTACTAAAAGTTTTGTGTGTAGTTCTTTTTTTCCCCTCTTAAAAACAAAAACCAAACAGGTGTAAGTATCTGCCCAAACAGGTGAATGCAGGAAGACAGGACAGAATGTGGGGGAGCAGTCAAACATCTGCTCCCTAAGTACCAGTGCAGGACAAGGGCTGCCAGGCAGGATTAGGGACAGACAGGAATGCCCCTGACCTCCAGGATGTTCCCTGACCTTGTAGAAATCAACTGTTATGTTGGTTACGGTGACAGGTCAAGACTCTTTGCTCAGGTAAAGCCATTTGCACCCCCAAATGGCTTTACTTGGGCAAGAGCTGGAGTTTGAGGTTTCACTGGGAACATTCAGCTGGTCTAATATACAGTAACAGTGACCTGAAATAAATGCCCTCCTCATCCAGTTTCACCCAAAACCAAAAACTCACATTCAAACAGCAGCAGGGGCTGCCCCATACCAGTCCTGCCCTGGCTGCACCGGATACCGTGCATACTTTGCCCTGATGTCTGTCCAGAGGATAGGTTTAGATTCTGTGGTGATGGTTGAAGTATTTACAGGTATTTGCAGCAGTTATTTACAGTACTTCTGCAGACCGCAAGCCAATTTTCTCTTCCTCCACTCCTAGTCAATCTGGCGTGGGCTTCTTTAGAGAGAAGGGCCGTATATTGAAGTGCCTGCTCAGCTGGCTCACCTGGGGACAAGGCAGACAACAGGACAGGATTAGCAAGGCCTGGATGGATGAGGAGGAAGGCAGTCAGAATACCAGACAGGTTCCCTATATGGCTACAAAGCCCCTGCCACCTTCCTATGGGCACTTCCCCAACCATTGCCCACACTACACACTCCCATGGGTGCAGCAGGTTGGGACCACAGCCTCTGTCCTCAGCTGTGGGGCCAGCCAGGCTGCCCTGGCCAGGACCTGAGCCAGCCCCTGCCAGCTCAATGCTGGGGCCAGCCATGGCTCTGTGAGGTAGATTTAGACTAGTTATTAGGAAGTTCTTCTCTGTGAGTGAGGCCCTGGCACAGGTTGCCCAGAGAAGCTGTGGCTGCCTCATCCCTGGCAGTGTTCAAGGCCAGGTTGTGCAAAGTTTGCAGCAACCTGCTCTAGTGGAAGGTGTCATTGCCCATGGCAGAGTGGTTGGAATTGTATGGTCTTTAAGGTCCCTTTCAACTGAAAACCATTCTGTACGCTATGACTAAGCGCTGCACCAGGAAATGAGCTTTCAGGAATGATTCAGAGAAATGCTGACAGGAGGTTAAAATGCACGGAGCAGCACCAGCATCTGGTGACTGCAAGGTAACAGTTACTGCACAACCAAGAGTAAGCAGTGCTGAGCAATACTAGAGGGTGAGTTGGGCAGGGGGTTTATTCCTAATGGTTACTACCAAATTCAGAGCACTTTGGATTATGTAGCAGACACAAAGTCTAAAAAGCTTCTTTTATCTTGCAAGAGGAAACTGCAAAAATGGGCCCTTGAGACGCTGGAGGGGAACAAGGGGAACACAAACTCAAGCGAGCAGAGCACTGAGAAGCTCATTGCAGGGGATGGGCAAGCTCAGGCAGGAGGATTACACCATCCGCTCAGTGCCCATCTCCAGCTATGATTCCAAGACCAAATTTATTTAAGCTTCTTAGCTATTCAAATCCTTCTCACATAGAAGCCTCATTACACTAATTGGAAAGACAAGCCGGCTATTACTTCTTTGCTGTAATTACAGTTCAAAGTTGACTCCAGAGGCTCCATGTCAGAGCTGGGGTTCCCAGGGGACAGGGCTTCCCAAGAACAGTGCACACAGGTGGCAGCAGCCAGCTCCACAGGGGACATCGGTCCCTTGCCCTCATTCCTCAGCAGCTTCCCAAGGCACTTCTAATGGGACTCAGTCTCCTCTGAGTCTGTTTTCTGTCTTAATCAAAACTCAGGAAGACAGGCAGAGCTTGCAGGGTGCAAGGGGAGCAAATTGGTGCCTGCATCTTGGTATAACCCTTGCAGCACAGGACAAGGCACTGCAGCCACAGAGCCCCCACCTTCCCTAGCAGGCACATCACCCCTTCTTCTTGGCTCTCCCAGTGACTATAGTCCACGCTGGTCACAAATCAAACTCATTAACCAAAGTAACACCAACAGCAGTTTAACTTCTTATACCAAGACTCCCAAATCAAGCCCTCCTGCCTGATGTGCAGACACAGGATCTGCTGCAGCTGCCCTTTCCACTGCCCACAAGTGTGGGTATCCCACACTTGCTTATATCCAAGCTGGTTACTAAGCTGCAACCCCAGCCAGGAGGAGTTAAACGTGGCAGCAGGGATGCAAGCATTAGTTTCAAACAGCCCCCCACCCACAGCCTGCACAAGCCTCTCACAAGGAAGGCAGCTCGAGTCTCATGTGGTCACAGACAGCGTGACACAGCCATTCCCGCTGATGTTCCCATTTTTAAGCAGAGTGTCCTATGCTCCAAACAGCAGCAGCACCCAGGCCATGCCTGCAGCCAAAGTGTAGCAGCCAAGCCTGAAGCCCATATGCCAAGTTCACCTACCACGACTACTCCGTAGTGGATGTGCGCCAGGGTGAGAAAAGCAGTTAACACGTAGAGGAGAAGTGTTTCGCTGTTGGGCACAAACCCAGACACCACCACGAGCAGTGCCACCGCTATGGGCAGCAGCATCCAGTTCAGAGGCTGGCAGCGTGTGCTGCTCATCTGACAGACGATCAGTTGGCACTGCAGGAAGAGAAAGCCGTCAGAGCTTGTGCCTGGTATCAACTCTGCAAGCCCAGAGTCTGTCCACAGGGCAGAGGACAGTCACACACGTACATGTACCAAGCATCTGCACTTACAACTACCACCGTGCAGCTTCTGAGTTGCACGTGAATTATCTTTCTTTGCGTTAGAATTCCTGCAGGGGACCCAGAGCAAAGCCTTGTGAGGCAGGGAGGTAACAGGGAAACAGGCATTGAGGGCATCTTTGAAAGAAAAAGGGAGCTCCCCTGAGCTGACTGAGCCTCACCAATATTATCTATACAATCAGCAGAAACTCAGGCCATGCAGCAGTGTGAACTGCTGGACTCGGGGCACAAATGCACAAAGCTGCTCAGTCACATGGCTGTGGTGACAGGCACAAGTGCCTTTGTTAAGGTCTCAAGCAAGCAGAGATGCAACATACGGCTAAACTGGATTTTGATAAAACCTTTAGTCCCTTCCATTTTAAGTTTAGCCCCAAAAAAGGAAGCAGCAACTCCTTTTGTATTAGCAGTTTGTTCTTCACAGCACAGAGGGTGCAGGAGTACATAAACACACTCCATTTAACTAATTCTCTAGTTTCTCAAGAGTGAGCATTGCAGCACAAAATCCACAGACCCCAAACGCTATTTTCCTGTTTGCTCTTCCAATCATGGCAAAACAGAAAAGTTGTGAAGTTCATCTTGGCATCTTCCCCCTCTCCTCACATTTGAGCTGCCTCCCAAGCACCCTGGCAGGTTTCACACTCCTCAGGGGATAAACTGGAGCATAAAGCAAAAGCTGCTTACAGAAATGTTAGCAAAGGCTGTTCCAACCATGAAGTAGAAGAGCCTGGGCTGGACCTCAAGGATGTCTGTCGGGGACATGAAGACCCATGTGGTGCAGAGCAAGAACAGCAACACTGGAGATACCAATGGCAGCATGATTTCATACACAGAATGGTGCTTCAAGGTGTTGTTTTTATAGGCCCTGAAATACAAGCAAAGAAATCAAAATCACAGCTGCGAAATACCTGGTCCCACCTTCAGCAGAGGGCTGTAAAACCTGATTGGCCATTCAGCTACTCAAAACTGCTGGTGTCAGTTAGAGCCATGGGCAGGTGAGAAAGATGCACACCTGCACCATTAACCCAAAAACCTCCTGAACTACAGAAGCACCTGGCTGTCTGGCTCTCTGTGTTGTGACCAACAGGGTAAGACCCACAAAAGCTGGGGACCCTCCTGCAAGACCCTGCTGAGCAGGCTGCCAGCCCACCCTGCAAACTGGGGACCTCCTGGTGTGTCAGAGCCACTTTGCCACTGAAGTCACTCGCCTGAAAACTACCAAGGAAACCAGGTTATAAGAAGCTTTAGGGGCTCTTGCAAAGGTGCTAATGCAGGGAAAGAGACTCGAGGATGAAGGAACTTACTTGTAGAAGTTATACAGGCTCATCGGCAGCGTCACAGTGAGTGCACAAGCTGGAAGAGAAAGAGCCATGTTACTGCCCTGTGACAGAGGGAGAACATCACATGCACCCCATGAATGGGCAGAGGGCTGTGCTCTGGCTTAAGGTGCTTGCAACAAAAATAGTTCAGAGGTGGCCCAAGAATAGCTCGGCACATTTAAAAGTAGGTGCTCATAATTCTGGTCCAAGAGCTGTAATTACCAGTTAAGATCTGCTATAAATTAAAGACATTTCCATTTTTAAAAGTTACATTAATGAGTCCAGTATTATGTTTTAAACAGTCACAAAGTTTAATTAAAATACTGTATTTAATGAGGCACGAGGCAAGCTCAAACTCCACAAGTGGAATGGCTGTGAACAAAAGAGTTTTCAGTCTTCATAATAAAGACAATCTGCTATTTCTGCCACTGTGAGCAAGCATTTTCACTTCCCACTCTGCAAAAAAGCTCTTGTTGTTTAACTTGACAAAGGATGCAAAGAGTCGAAATAACTGAAAACTCTAGACCTCAATGAGAAAAATCATCCACAACACCCAAACCCATGACAGTCTATCAGCTCCTTCTGTATTTATCTAACAGTAAGTATTTCAACAGAGCTGTAAATATTCCTGCTTTTAATAACCCAACCCCTATCCAAGTGCACAAACCCATCCAATGGAGGCGTTGTGCTCCAGTTTTCCTATAGGGAAAGCGCATTTATTATTCATGTATTAAGTTATACAGTTGTCAAAGGAAAGCTCAGAGCATCCATCTGATTAAGTGCAAGCATTAGATTAAACACAACAATTCAAGGCATATTAACTTGAAATTGAGCAGGTACAATTAACCCCTAAAGAAAGGGACACAGACTAAGAAAAATTAAACTGAGCAAGAACGTCTGAATAAGCCTAATGACATTAAGCAAGGACAGCTCTCCCCAGCTCAGCTTCTCTGCATTACCATCCCCTCTGCAGAAGCCGATTCTGACTGACCACTGGAGACAAAGGCTGGGCTTTTATTTAATTGTACATTTCTAAATGTAATTTTCAGATGGGCAGATGGAGGGCAGGATCCCCATACAGCACAGTGATTTTCCCAACCTCCATGGCTGGAACATCTCCCCCAACAGCAGCCCCAGGCTCCCACACAGCATGTGGGCTCCAGCTTCTAAAACACAGCCACAGCAGCAAAGCAAGTGTTCTGCAAACAGTGCTGGGGGTCCCTGCTGGCCACCTGCAGTGGGTGCTACATGGCCTTCTGTCACTCAAAACCCCATAGCTCTTGCTGCAAACAAGCCCTGCTTCCCCGGGCAACACAAATCCCACAGCCTCAGTGCTCAGGCAACACGGCTATTCGGAGGAGACATGTTTTCACACGCTCACAGGTTCCAGGCATGAAGGAGGCTCCTGTTTAGCATCCAGGGGCCAGTGCTAGGCTCCAGCTGCTTCCCAGCACCCTGGTACAAGCAGCAGCCACAGCCCTCAGCTGCTCTCACCTGCCCACCACACCACTCCAAGCAAGGAATGAACTTTTTGCCTGTCCACACATAACCCCAGCCCCAGGCAGACAGCACCTGAGCTGATTCCCTGAGCAGCAGCAGGCTCCTATACCCTCAGGACTGGCACAAAGTACATCCAAGACATGAGCACAGAGCACCACTCTCTTGCTGTTCTAAGTCAACAGCAGACCCAGGGAGACTGGAGTTAACTTCTCTAAAGAAACTATGCATAAGACAATACTTTGAAATCCTGGGAAAAGGCAGGCTGCAAGAATACCCTCAGTTAGTCACTTCAGTAACAGCCTACAGGAGTTTTCATTACAGCAAACAGAACAGCAGCATTACCATATAATTAACACATTGGGTTTCATTAAAAAGGTGGAGTTTAAAAGACAGGCTTCAACATGGAGTTTCTTACCAATAATCATTGCAGTGAATAGGTCTCTATATAAGAAATTAAACAGGAAAGGTGCATACCAGGCCTCAACTCCCACAATGGCTGTCACTATGTAGACAATTGAAATGGTCTGAAAGAAAGCACAGGACAAGCAGGCTTGAGCAACCAGAGAGGCGAGACTGGAAAGCAGCACAACACCGTGTTCAATTCTCCCCACCAGCAGGAAAGAGAAAAAGATAAAAAACCCCACAAACACCCCATATTATGAGACCAGGTCTAATAAGTGTAGCAGCTGAGCTGCTGATACAACCAAAAGCTGCTCCTCACAACAGAAGCAAAGATGCCTCTATGCAGCTTGAACTCATGAGATGTTTGAAGCATGAGAGTGAAGTTTTATACTGCAAGTTGCAGTCACCCTGGAGCATTTCTTGGGGAACTTTCTCATCTATCTGCAGAAGCAAATGCAGGGAAAAAGCTAACAAGGGGTATTTCAGTTTTAATAGCAGCCCTGAAGCTCAGTAAAACACACTGCAGGGGAGCTTAGCCCTCCACCTCCTGCCTTTCTGCAACAGGAAGAGATCTGAAAGCATATATGGAAGTTCTTCCCTGTGAGGGTGGTGAGGCCCTGGCACAGGGTGCCCAGAGAAGCTGTGGCTGCCCCATCCCTGGCAGTGTTCAAGGCCAGGTTGGACGGGGCTTGGAGCAACCTGGTCTAGTGGAAGGTGTCCCTGCCTGTAGCAGGGGTTTGGAACTGGATGAGCTTTAAGGTCTCTTCCAACCAAAACCATTCTGTGATTCAGAAGGAGCTTCCTGCAGAGTTGTCTTTAAAGATACAGACATGCCAACATACCAAAGGATCCCTCACCACCAGTCAGTCTCCATACTGACTGCCCAGTTACCACAGTACAGAGAGGCACCTCCTGAGGAACCTTTGCTCCTGGCACAGAGATTAGCATGCCAATTAACCCCATTACAATCAGACACACATCCTGCCAGTGCCAAAAGGTACCCCAAACTTCTAGACTTGAATTTACCCACCCTGGTATAATGTGGAAAAGTAACTAAAGCAATGATTCAGGTGGCCAAAACATGCATCTCAGGAGAGCAGAAACAGGAAACCCAAGGCAATAACTCAAGGCAGAGGAAACTCCATTCTTCAAGCCTCATGTTTTGCAGAGTATATCTACAACAGCTGCTCGGAACAAAATCACAGAATGGTACAAACCTGCTTGGATTTAATGGTTTTGAGCAGTCAAACTCTAGTGCCACCAGCACCCTAAGACCCCAAATCATTAACACAACTATAGCTCAAAGGCACGCAAGCAGCCTTGGAAAGCTCTCCTCCTCCACAGACCTGGAGACAGGCTGAGGATGCCTACCTCCAGAGAGTGTTGCAATGACCAATTTACAAGACTTTGGAGCTGCACACATCCCTCACACACCTCAGTGGTCACTCTCACACCCCAGAGATGCTATAGGTTTACTGAGTTTCTGCCAAATCCGAGCAGCAGCATGTACTTACCACCTGGCTGATGTCATATCCCCAAGGCAGGAAGAGAATCCCTGTGTTATACTTCTCCCAGTGGGAGAGGATAAATGAAAACAAAACCACCCATAAGAGGAGGTAGAGAACGAAGACACTGACACCCGTGGAGCCCCGTCCAAAGGTGGAGTAGACTGTCACAACGAAGTACACGCATGCCCAGCTGTCCAGGCCATGATCAAAGAGCTCTCCCAGGGGCGTGCTGGAGTTGGTCCGGCGAGCCTGCTTCCCATCAACACCATCTGGGAAGAGAAGGAGAAATGGGGACTTTTACTGAACACTCCCAGGCAAAGCAATGGGCCATTTTGCAGCCAACAACATGCAGGCAGCCAGCAAACAGTAGCTCTGACTACCTCCACCCTCTAACAGGGAGTGTGCTCCCCACCCCCTTCTCTGAGACTGACAGATGCAACAGCCTGACAAAATCACATTCATTTAAAGCAGACTAAAGACAGAATTTCACATTTTGCCATGAAGTCGGTTCCAGCATCCTGCTTTCACTGTGAGACAACTTCCTTCTACCTGCTTTGCAAAGCAGCTTCCAGAAACTGCTTGAGCAGCCCAAGCGGCAACTGGACCTGTGCATGGCAGACGCACAGAATCAGAAATTCCTCAGCAGGCTCGGAGATGACACAGCCACAGCTTGAAAGATGACAGGCACAAAACCCCCATAAACATAGAATCATAGAATAGTTAGGGTTGGAAAGGACCTTAAGATCATCAAGTTCCAACCCCCCTGCCATGGGCAGGGACACCTCACACTAAACCATATCACCCAAGGCCTCGTGCAACCTGGCCTTGAACACTGCCAGGGATGGAGCATTCACAACCTCCTTGGGCAACCCATTCCAGTGCCTCACCACCCTAACAGGAAAGAATTTCCTCCTTATATCCAATCTAAACTTCCCCGTTTAAGTTTTAACCCATTACCCCTTGTCCTATCACTACAGTCCCTAATGAAGAGTCCATCCCCAGCATCCCTATATGCCCTCGTCAGATACTGGAAGGCTGCTATAAGGTCTCCATGCAGCCTTCTCTTCTCCAGGCTGAACAGCCCCAGCTTTCTCAGCCAATCAACTAGATAGTCTTACCCAGAGTATAGGCAATGAAGTTGAGGAGACCCACAACGACCCACACTCCATTTGGAACATGCTGGTGATCAGGAGCTGCAGAGATCAAAGACCCACGTTAGGACAGCTCAGCACATACTTTCAATTGGATTATTTTGGCACAAGAGGCACCGTGACAAGACAGCTCACCAAGGCACCTACACAACTAAAACAGTGAAACTGAGATGTTAGCTTTTCAGGACATGACAGCATGACAAATTGTGTCACCAAGGACTTTCCTTCCCAGAACATACTTGTCCTCTGTCCCCAGCTCCCCAGAGCCAGGGGATTTAAGAACTAGCAATCATAGCTAGCCAAATGCATGCCACGGAAGCATGGGCAGATCAGACTTTCCTCAATCACCTGCTTGCAGAGCATCAAGTAGAGCCTCTCCAAGGTGTGGAGACACCCTGCCTCTGCAGAAACATCTCAGGATTCCCTGCCCAGGCTCCAGACTGCATCCTGCCAACTGAGATAGAGTTCCTTCTTAATAACAACACCATCTCCTCCACTACCCCTTCAGCAGATAGCCAGCTCAGCCGTCTGCAACTCAGGAGCCCAAAGGTGCATCTGAAAAACAGGAGGAAGCAGCACAGCTTATTGGTAGCAGCCTCACAGGAAGACACGTGGAGGAGGTCTCTCACAAGAAATGCCAACTCCTATTTCCTTCGAGCAGCGTGATGATGCCTTTCCAGCAGCAAATGGAAGGCATCATGGCTACAAACCCATTCACACAGAAGGAAGGCGGAAGCTTCTGGAGGCCTCGCCAGCAAAATGAAAAGTTCTGTTTCCAAGCAGGACATGCATAACACGTACGTAAAAGGTCCTAAAGCATGAGCTTCACCAGCCTTTTGGCAGAGCTCAAGCTTCTGGATGCCTGAAGTTCTGCAGATTCTCATATTGAGCTTCCTACCCTGAGCTACTACCTGCTTTTCCTCCCATAGCCTGTGGGCCAAAACACAGTCCACGTATCAGCTGACAGCCACTGAGGCCACCTGAGCTTTGAGAACCTGACTCACCAAGAACAGTACTTGTCTGCTACTGATGAAGGCAATCCCAAGAACCCCAAATTTTTCCCACTTAACTGTGCTTTGATAATTGGCCCAGTTTTAGAAGAACTAGATGGACACTTCTGAGCAACCTAAACCAAACCTGGCAGGGGCACAGGGAGAGAGAAAGCTATTGGTAAGTGACTGAAAGTGATCATGTTGTATTAATATTTGCCCTGGGTCAGTCCCATGAGGAAGGGGACACAAATGAACCTTTGGATTCACAAACAGAGGAGCATGGATACCCTGAAAAAGTTTAAAGCTGTATATATCCTCATGCAGAACAGTGAAATCAAGAAAGAGAATTTTGCCTTTGTTAGTCTGAATGTGGTGTTGGCATGTTTTTGCAATTAGCTGGAATGCAAAGAACGAGGCTCTACCTGCTGACATCATGGAAGCAGACTTTCCCATGTTACACCATTAGATTAAAAAAGGGTGCTGGGTTATTGTCTGCTCTGTAGGCAGAGCCAATTCCTACTCAAGATTTCAACTGTTTCCTCCTGCCTCGCACGCATGCTGCCAACCAGGCACACATTCACCCAGCAAGGGGAAGCTGTCACAGACCTTAAAGCTCATCCAGTTCCAACCTCCTGCCATAGGCAGGGACACCTTCCACTAGGTCAGGTTGCTCAAAGCCCCATCCAACCTGGCCTTCAACACTACCAGGAATGGGGCAGCCACAGCTTCTCTGGGCACCCTGTGCCAGGGCCTCAACACCTTCATAGAGAACAACTTCTTCCTAAGATCCCATCTCTATCTCCCCTCTGTGAGGTTAAAGCCATTCCCCCTTGTCCTGCCCCTACAGGCCCTTGCCAAAAGCCCTTTCCAGCTTTCTTGTCAGACTCTTTAGGCACTGGGAACTCCTCTAAGGTCTCCCTGGAGCCTTCTCCAGGCTGAACAAGCCCAGCTCTCTCAGCCTGTCTCCACAGCAGAGCTGCTCCAGCCCTTGGAGCATCTTCATGGCCTCCTCCTGACTCACTCCAACAGCTCCATATCCTTCTTATGCTGGAAGCAGGACTGCAGGGGGGGCTCACAAGAGCAGAGCGAGGAGAATCCCCTCTCTTGAGCTGCTGACCATACTCCTTTCAGTGCAGCCCAGCATACTCACATTTGGACAAGCCCTTGTCATGAAGCCCAGCAAGTTCAACCCCTCAACTCTGTCCCTCTTCTGGCACAGACACTCCTCTCTGGGAAGGCCCAGACTAAGAGGCCTTATCAACAAGAACCAGAGGTCACTGCAGAGGAGGCAACTGATTTTAGCACTCGGATGCTTCACATCCAAACATGAATATGCAGCCTTACCAGAAGCATAAAAGTCAGGGTCGAAGTATGCCATGAGGAAGAAGTTGAAGACAAGCAGCAGGAAGCCAGAAAACGTTATCAAATTTGGGGCCAGCCAGGTAGGGAAGATCTATGGGAAAGCAGCAAAAGAACACATAACTCATTAAAACATGTAATAGGGACCATGTGCTGTTCCCGGCCATGGCAGACTTGGTTGCAGTCAACTGGGCATTAGACAGCACTGCTTAGTTGCATCTGGCATATCAGTGGGCAGGTGGAAGCTTCAGACTGCAATGCAGTGAGCTCAGGGCAGGCTGGCAGGCAGCATCCTTTGTCATTAGTTGCACCACAAACAAAGCAGGGCTTTTCAGCTGACAGTTTTACAGAGGGTGACTGGAGTTTTGCTGTCCCGCTCAGGGGAGGAGGAGGTCTCACCTTCACTATGGTGTTCCAGAAGGGATGCATGACATACAGAGACAGAGGGTTGCTGTCCACGGCACTGTACTGTGAATGACAAGGGAAAACCAAAAACCAGTGGTTAGGGCTCCACCAACACTTGCAGAGAAACAGATCCTGAACATTGAGCTTCCATGAGGATACCTGCTACCCAAGTCTTGGCACCACAAGAGCACTTGGGTCAAGGAGGGATCCTCACCAGGGACAGGGCTAAACAACCCAAAAAGCACTCAACACTCTGCTGACACTGGGCACAGCCCCACAGGGCCAGCTCTCAGATGCACATTCCTTGCCTAGAGTCAATGCTTCTCCTCCGCAGGGAGCAGCCCCATGAGAAGACAGGCACCATGCCCACCACAACAGATTTTGCAAGGCAGGAATCATAGAACCATGGAACAGTTCGGGTGGGAAGGGAACTTACAGCTCATCCAGCTCCAACCCCTGCCATGGGCAGGGACACCTTCCACTAGACCAGGTTGCTCCAAGCCCTGTCCAACCTGGCCTTGAACACTGCCAGGGATGGGGCAGCCACAGCTTCTCTGGGCAACCTGTGCCAGGGCCTCATCACCCTCACAGGGAAGAACTTCTGCCTAAGAGCTCATCTCAGTCTCCCCTCTGTCAGGTTGAAGCCATTCCCCCCTGTCAGAAGCCCCTCTCCAGCTTTCTTGTCAGCCCCTTTAGGTACTGGAAAAGACTCAAGGACACGCAATCTCCTTTGCAGCCCACACTCCCACCAAAGCCCCACACTCCAATGGCCACACCAGGCGTGGTGGCAACCCTCACAAGCTGAAGCAGCAGCAACAGTCCCATGGCCCCAAGCACCGACACCATGGGACCAACCCACAGAGGACAGCTTGGTGTGCTCTTGCTTGATCCCTGTCCCAAAAGATGAGAAGGACCAGGGACATCCTTGGCTCAGCATCCAAAGGTACCGTTACAGAAGGGCTGGGGAAGATTTCCCAACCAACCGTGGGACCTGGGGCCACTCCTATAGCCCCACTGGTCCACAGGTTCATCAGCTTTGCCACACTGGCACCCCTTTTGTGAAAGGCTGCAGGAGAACAGTGATGAGTCCCCTTGGTGGGGTCCCCAAAACAGGAGATTACTCTCTGACAGACAGGATACTAATGGAGACACTTCTGTGCTGACAGCTCTGAGTGATCCAGACACCACCACTGACTGCAGAGGTCCTGCACAAGAGCTGGCACACTTCAGTCAAGGACTAAGCCCATTGAGATGGCAGCTATCATTGTCTTGCCCATGTCCAGTCACTTGGAAAAGACTTTCTCCTCATGGAAACAGAGTAGATACTTATGAGCAAGGTCTTGAACCCTCTCCCTTGTCCTGCAGATACTCCAAAACACCATGTACAGCACCACACATCTACAAGCATCTCCAAATTCCACATACCCCATCACAGCTGGGACACAGGGCTCCCAGCCAAGCTCTCGCCTCACTAGTGGAGGTGGGGACAGAGACTGGGGTCAGCAAAGGAACACAGTGATTGCAGCAGAACAGATGACAGATTTCCCTATTTGGAGGAAGAAGCCATGTCATTATTCAGGGAGCTGGAGTTCACATTTCCAAAGGAGGATAAGACTGGTAGGTGAACACCAGGATGCCCATGGGTACCCCACAGTGGACAGGTCTCAGAGGGCTCCTCTCTGTTTTTCCCTGCCCTTGGGAAATCCCCTCATCCCACTGCTCTTAGATCATGAGGTGGGCAGGGTGTGCATGTGATGGGAAAAATAAAATCAGAAGTCAAAATCAAAGCCCTAGACAAGCCATGAAGCAGTTTCCAATTAGAAAGATAAGATTTGACACCATTTGGCTCTCAAGAGCTCCACAAGCTCTTATCTGCTCTCCAGCCCACAGGCCCTTCCTAGCAAAGATTATTGTGTCTAAAGTCCTCTCCCCAGGTAACACTTTGATAAGAATCCCAAGAAGAATTTCATAAGCTATGAAACTCTGGCGCCAAGTGGGGCGGCTACTGGTGCCCACCCACCCTGGGTCTCCACTGATGGGAAAACCACCGTGCACCTCCTCAGCATCAGCATGAGTCTAATCCCAAGGTAATGAGCAGTGTTATGGAAAGCAATCAAAGCCTCCACCTCTCCTGCACGGCCACATAGACATAACCTATGCACTCTCTGAGATAAGGGGAGTGCAGCTGGCAAAAGGAAACCATCAGCACAGAGCAGCTCCATGTCCCACCTACCCCATGGCCTTGAACCAGCCACCATCCCTTCACCCACAGTTTGTTCCTCTCTCCGGCTGGAAACCCATTTTCCCTGGAAGCAGTCTGTCCAGTTTAAGAGGTGGGAAAAAAGTTGGCAAAGCAAAGCAACACTCCACAACACAGCAAGATGAAGGTGCACCACATCTCTAAGGGCTCTGAGCACACTGGCTAAGAGTTCACAACATTTGCTCCTAACTGGGTGAATCCCATCCTTGGCAAGCATTCCTGTACCCCTACCAGCACTTCCCGGTCCTCCCTATGATGGATCAGTCCATCTCGCTGGGGGCTAGCCCCAGAACTTACATCCCCGTGCCAGCAAGCCTGTAGTCGCTGCAGAGCAAGCAGCAGCAACTTGATGACATATGGAGGCAAGGTTTAAGCCACAAGGAATTTCCATCCTGGCTTAATGCAATTTCAGCGGACAGAATTCCAAATGCTTTACAAGATAATAGGATTTGAGCCATTGGTTTAGGGGAGGAGAAGAGCTGGAGACTGATTAAATCTCATTATCCCCAAAACACCCTGAACAAGAAAACAGATGCAAGGCTTGGAGCAAGGCAGGGGAAGCACCCTGCCAGCCACCCTAAGGAACAGTGTTCCTGGTCACCCAGGCCACGGCTGCCTGCCCAGGAGAGCCATCTGCCAGAACAGCAATGACCTGCCAGGCTTCTTCTGTGACAAAGCTCAGCAACATCAGCCATGCTCAGCTGCACCACAACTGCTTTTTGTCATCTGGTTTCTTTCCTACAGACATTACAAAGATGAGGATGCTGGCAGTGGGCAAAGGAGGGCGGACAGGAAAGGGCAGGTGGGCATGGTCATCACCTCCTCTTGGGTGTGAGGCCTCTGTGTGATCAGAGCTGGAAACAAAGCAAGCTGTGGAGGTGTTTCACTTACAGCTCACTCCTCTGGCCACTCACCTTGGGTCCCACACTGTGGAGAGAGCAGGAGATGCCACACCAGTGATGGAGTTTCCTCATTCCTGTGTCAGCCCTCCAGGGCCAATGCTTATGGAGACTGACATTCCTTCACTGGGAATGCAGGGTCTCAACCTGCCTGTTCATACATGCTTGTGCCTTGGAGCAAAGCTGGGGAAGGAGCCCAACAGCCCTAGAGAGCCCCAAGCTGAGGACTGGGGCTCATACACCCCCAGAGCTGCTATCACACTTAGCTGCTGAAGTTGCTTTGCTGAAACACTCTCGAGGCCACAAACACAGCATTATCTTAGCTCACCACGCACAGCACCAGCTCTGTCATTCACCCACCTCATCCTCTCTGTCAATTAGCATCACTTTTTCCATTTCAAATCTCTATATGTTGGTCTAGTGACTCATGCATGTGACTATTATCCTTCTCTAAGTCACTTTTATATCACTACCAATGACTACCTCTAGCCAGGACTCTGATTTCCCCCTCATTTTCAGGAAGAGAAGGTCAAAGGAAAAGTGTGAGTGCACAGAATGCATTTCCTATTCCCCAGAGCTCCCTCCTCAAAACAGACAGGCACGTGTAACAGGCCCTGCTCTAAAATAGTCCTGTGTATGCAGACACCACTTCTCATGCAACTGCAGGAAGGAGCCAACCCAGCCCAGATGGTCCCATCAAGAAAAGAGCAAAGCCAACTTTGCAGAAACAATCTTGTCTCTCGCACTATGAAGCCGCAGCCTCCCCTGCACCTCATCCATGCCAGGACAGCCACGGGATCCCTCAGCCCCCTGCTTGCTCCATCTGACTGGCATTGTTAGGGGATTTAGAGACATGAATGGCTCACACAGCTTAAAAACAACATTCATCATGCAACCAGGCAGTTTCTGGAAGATCCAATTATGTGTCCAAGGAGGAAAAAATACAGATTTATAGCCCAGATTCTACTAATAGCCTTCCTGTCCAGAAAAACAATTGCACTGTTAAGTAACCTGGTTACCCTGAGCTAGCAGCAAAGCAGAAACAGTCGCATAGGGTCCCTGGGCACACCAATGTCAGACACCTGAACCCATCCAGGGTAGGCTGGGGGAGGACAGCACTGGTGGTACAGGCACCCATGCTGGGAATGGCAAGCAAAGATGGATTCGTACACCCCATTTTGCTCGCAGGCACTCTGGCAAGGTCCACAGCAGCCTGTGCTTCTTGCTGGCCATGAACCTCTGTCTCACTGCTTGTCACTGGCAGCAGGAGCAGGGCAGAGGGAGCCTCAGCAGAGCAGCTCCAGCAAGTCCATAGGACTGTTTCCTATACATCTCCTGAAGTACAAGAGGGCACAAGGTTAAGAACCTTCTCCCATCAAGCTCATGATAAGCCAAGAGGCAGCGAACTCGACAAATCCCAGCAAATGTAACCGAGCAGAGCCATGCCAGCACAAACAAGCCACATTTGCACTATGCCCACACTCTGCTGATGCACAAGAAGTCACATCATGATTAATGGTACTTATTAACTCAATTCCTGTTTATTTTTGAGGTCACTTCTCAGCTGGCATAAGAACAGAGCACGTTGGCAGTGGTAAACCTGCAATGACCACATGAGCTGACAGGTTTGGCTCCCACCATGAGCAGCAGGCAGGGAACAGCAGGACAAGTGTCCAGTCTGCCTGCTCCACAGCCAGGAGGGACTGCCCTAGGAGCAAACAGACGCTGCCCACAGTATCTTCAACACCAGCATCACTTCCCTCCTCCTGTCTGGTTTTCACCATGCAGGCTTTAGAGATCTAAAAATTAAAGATCCTTCAAAACATTGCATGCAAAGGTTTCTGCAAGGTCAGAGTCCCTCTTCCCCAGGAGGAACTACCACAATGAGCAGAAAACTCCTTCCT